GCAAGTGAACGAACAAATACACAAACAGAAACTTGTTAAATGAATATAAATACACATAAAAATCACTCACTATGGCATCCTTTGTGACATATAGGTATATGTTAATACATAGAAATGTCATAGGAATTTTACAAAGTATGACTTTTAGGTTGTTTCTTATTTGTCAAGATATTGGAGGTAATTTACATTTTAGTTTGAAGAACGATTAGTTTCAACTGTTGAATATGTTGTTGAATAACTTAATAGTGTAATATAAGACTCAATATAACAAGTAGTATAGAATTCTTTATAACAAACTCTTTAACCTTGGGCAAGACACTTTCACCTCTCAGGGCTCAGTTTTTTCATATGTAAAATGAAGGGCTCTTTCTTTCCTAGGTAATCATATAGTTCTTTCTAGCTCCAACGTTCTATAGGTGTTGGCAGAAAATAGACATCTTTCAGGTGCAAACGTGCTCATACCTCTGTTTTTAACTCTTCCACAAAAGAGGCAAATCTTTCCAAAGTTAGACTTAATTTCTGGAGAGGGAAGGTATGTTTTCATTCACATTTCATTTCATTCCTCTATATTCTCATAGTCCACTCTGGGGTCTGAGGTTCCAAATAATGTCCCTGGTCTCTGTAAGATCCTCAATCAAATAAAATGAAATAATGTGCATTACACTGTTTTCATTAAGCTAGAAATGAAACAGTAATTTTAAAAAGATGTTCAGCAATGAGGACTAACTTTCTATCTTACTCATTTTCCCTCCCTTTTATAACCCTTTTGTTTTCACGCAATATCTCTATGTTAATCTGCACTTGTAAAACTACAATGTGGTTAAGACTATTTTTGCAGTCATCTGCAAAAGAATCATGCATGTGATTTAGCTCCATACTATCCCTTTTTTTAAACTCCAAAATCAATCACAAGACTTCTGTTTTTCAAGATATTCTTCTCTTCATTGAATGTAGAAACATTTTAAATAAATTTCAACATTTTGAAACCAGGTAGAATGTAGAATTTAAAATATTTCTTCTCACTTTGGCTATGTTAACTTAACCCTAGAAATATTAACAGCTTTAAAAATGTATTTCTGTAAAAACCAACATTATTGAGTTATTATTGAGTCAGCAACAGCTTCCTAGCATTCTGGCAAAATCAAGATTCTCTTTCTCTCTCCTTATTTCAACTTGCCACTGAAAAGAAATATGCAAAGATTACTAACAATAATTATCAGTTGAATTTTATGCTTGTATTTCTCAAAGTAAAACTTAAAAATAATTTTTCTGTGCATCCATACAATAAAATATTATGCAACCATTTAAAAGAAAGTTTGTCTTTTCTTTTATAACATGTTTATGTCTGCAATATATTATAAAGTGAAAAATGTACAGATTAGAGTGCATACAGTAAAAATAGTAAAAACCAATTTTCTTCATATATATATTTTTATAAAAGTCTAGAAAGATGTAAGACAAACTGTGAATACTGTTTGCCTTTGAGTGGTTAGTATTCCAGCTGTTTTTTATTTTCTCTGTTAACCTTTTAAAATGTTTTCTGGTAATGCATAGATATTGATGTTGTCATCAGAAAAACATGTATTAAATTAAAACTCATTTTTAATAGATGGAATTGAGCATGGTGGAAATGATGGTGATAAAAGACAGATTGTTATGCTGAAAGTCCTATGAAATTCTTTCTCTTCCATTAAATGTTAATTCTTAAAACTCATGAAATTTGGATGAAAACCAAAGGAGGAACGTGGCTTTCATTAGAGCAGGGCATCTATGTTGTACCCTAACAGGTTATCCCTCACTAACTGTCCAAAGTCCAGCGATCTTTTGACAATCGCTCCTTAGGTGGGGTGGCTCTTCTGGAAGGAATCCAGCTCAGTTACAATTTTTCTTTTCTCCTAATTCTGATGCATAAAACTTCAGAAGAGCTTTTGATTCTAAGTCCAATTGGACAAGAAGCCTTACCTCCCCTTTCTTGTAATGTCCATGCCCCCATCTCACTTTGCTATAGCCACTGCCAATTAGCAGGCTCTCATTCTCAGGTGCCTAAAGAAATATAAAATCCCTAATAGGTCTTCTGCCTCCTTTTTCTTCCTTTTTTTTATTGAAGCTGCACATGTCCACTTAATTCATCCTTCCTCCTAAAATGCTACTTTTAAATATGTTACCCTTTTGTTGAACATTCAAATAATTCTCTCTGACAAGAAAAAAAAAAAAAAATAT